CCTACGTCGACGAGGTTCCCCCCCCTGGGGCGAACATCGTCAGTGGCATGTGGATTTTCAGGGTGAAGCGGCCACCTGGTTCTCCTCCGGTCTTCAAGGCGCGCTACGTGGCTCGAGGCTTCAGTCAGCGAGAGGGAGTTGACTTCTTTCAGACCTTCTCCCCCACCCCGAAGATGACCACTCTTCGGGTGCTGCTGCACATAGCCGCTCAGCGCGACTACGAGCTTCACTCACTTGACTTCAGCACTGCTTTCTTGCAGGGCAGCCTGCACGAGGAGATCTGGCTGCGCCGCCCTCCTGGCTTCACTGGGTCGGTTCCTCCTGGTACCCAGTGGAGGCTTCAGCGGCCGGTCTACGGTCTCCGCCAGGCACCGCGTGAGTGGCACGACACACTGAGGATGACACTTGCGGCTCTTGGGTTTGCTCCCTCCACTGCTGACCCGTCGCTGTTTCTACGCACAGACACCTCGCTGCCGCCGTTCTACATCCTCGTGTACGTCGACGACTTGGTCTTTGCCACTGCTGACACCGCGGCACTCGCCCACGTAAAGTCGGAGCTGCAGAGGAGACACACGTGCACAGACTTGGGTGAACTGACAAGCTATCTTGGCTTGCGGATCACTCGGGACAGAGCACGACGCACCATCACCTTGACTCAGTCACACATGGTGCAGCAGATCCTTCAGCGCTTCCGCTTCACGTACTCCTCGCCTCAGTCCACTCCTCTGCCTACCGGTCACTCACTCTCAGCTCTGCCTTCGGATGAGTTCGTAGAGCCGAGTGGCCCGTATCCAGAGCTTGTGGGCTGCCTCATGTACCTGATGACCTGTACTCGACCTGACCTTGCATACCCTCTTAGCATCCTTGCACGCTATGTCGCTCCTGGCCGTCACAGGAAGGAGCACATGGATGCCGCTAAGAGGGTGTTGCGCTACTTGTGCAGTACGTCGGGCATGGGGCTAGTGCTTGGAGGGCGAGACCGAGTTGTACTTACTGGACACTCAGACGCTTCTTGGGCGGATGACCAGGCTACTCAGCGGTCGTCTCAGGGTTACACCTTCAGCCTTGGCTCCGGCTCAGTTTCTTGGCGTTCTACACGCTCTTCTTCTGTTCTCAGCTCCAGTTGTGAGGCTGAGATCTACGCCACAGCCATGGCTGCCTAGGAGCTACGCTGGCTGACCTACCTGCTGACCGACTTGGGAGAGCGGCCTCGTTCTCCTCCAGTGCTGTACGTCGACAACCAGGCTGCCATTGCCTTGTGCACAGACTGGAGCACAGAACGAAGCACATCGCCCTGCGGTACTTCCTTGCTCGAGAGCTGCAGCAGCGTGGTCAGCTTCGTCTGCGTTACGTGGCCACTGAGGCCAACCTTGCTGATGTGTTCACCAAGGCGCTTCAGCCTTGTGACCATCAGCGTTTCTGTACTCTTCTAGGCCTTGTGCCTGCTGGACCTCACTTGCTTACTTCTTGACTCTGCTTGTACTGTGATCTTATATATATATATATACCTGCATGTTTACACTTGCTAGGTTGTGATCATTGTATCTCTTGCTATATTATGAAACTGCATGTGAACTGGTCTTGTGACCACTTGCTTGTGCTCAAAATTTGTGTGGTATCCTTGAGATCCACCCTGAGCTTGCTTTGCTTTGCTTTGACTGGTCTCATGACCCTGTGGTTGTCTCCCACTGCGCCTATGGGGGTGTGTCAAACATTGTATGTTTATATTGTGTAGGCTGTAGTGGGTTACACCTTAGGGGGTACACAAAGTTAGGGTTTCCTACTTGTACCAAACTCTGAGCTAGTTCATTCATTCCTCGTTCAGTTATTCTGACACATCGGTATTTACATACAATCCGACGCCCCGGGAGCCACAACTTGGGAAAAAATCCTCAACCAAATCAGACCCACCGCATCTTTCTTCGCAAAACTACATGCCACAGCCACCTGCCGCTCAGCACACTCAACAAAACGAATTGTCTCACGGTTCGCTTTCGGTGGACGTTTTTAGCCCCCCCCAGACGGTGTCACAAAACAAATAGACCTCATTGTTGAAACCTCCTCTCCGCTTCCAAGTACCGCGAACAGGGCAGAGGAACGCGTCTCATCACCAAACGCTTTCTCTATAACAAGAAGCGTCACGGCGGAGTAGGAGCTATCCAACCATCCAGACACTTACAAGCGCTCAATGTGCAACGGGCAGCACGTCGCTTCTATCCATCGCCGGCGGAAGAAATCGCGCGGTCATGCTGCCCTCTCCCCTTCGGACTCCACTGTTTCCTGGCTCATAAGGACATCCTCAAATTCATGCCTGAAAATACTCATGCTCGCGTCGTAGCTGAAGTCACCGCCACGATGGACCTCCCCACGACAATCCTTCCCCCCCGCCTCGAACCATGGGTACTCATGGCCGAACCTCTGGCCTTCAACCGCGAGATTGTACGCACCCACGGCAGACCTTTTGGCCGGATTAAAGGTGAAAAGTTCCTTCTCACCCAAGAACTAAGGCTCGGCAACCTTCTTGCTCCCACCGCCTCTGGATCCTCACGCCACCCCCGGACTACCTGGCAATAGGCGACTGGGCCATTATAGCCTTGCCTACACCAGGGACAGCCTTACAGGTACTACAGGTGCAGACGATCCTCCCCGACCAGTCAGCCCGCTTCCGCAGCTTCGCAGTCAACAACCAGCGTGTAGCAGAACAAGCAACAGCCTCCTATACTCTGCCTTTCACCGCCGTCATTCCAGTCTTGGTTACAAACGGCTGGCTTGGCGGGACTTTCTGTTCGGGAGCAGGCCTCGGCAGCAGACTCGGCTTTCTGAAACACTGCCATAAATTCTCCGACATCCGCCAGCTGCTCTACACGAGACAACCTCTACCACACGTCAAACAGTGGAATGAGATCCTCCCCACACCGCTTGACACCCTTCCTAACCTCACGCAGCCCTTTCTCGCGGAACAACCAAGCCGACAACGAGATGTGCTCTACAGACTATACACTCGCTCCCTTCCGTGTGGAACTCGAGTCCCTTACACCTCCTTCGGACGCAACTGCCCGCGCTGCGCTGACGAGACACCGAAAACTCTTACCCACATCTTCACTGACTGCGGTAACGCCCCAATCATCTCTGCCGCCCTCCAACGAACAGCACGGGATCACCTAGGTCTCTCGATCCCGACCGAACTCACCCTGTTCCCGCTCTCCACGCCGGCCGGTCAAGTGGCGCCATGGAGTCTCCTAGTCGGCGCTGCGGCAAAGGTGCTATGGAATGAACGGTGCAACGCTATCCATAACCAAGTCCACTCCTCAGCAACGTCATCTCTTCACACCGTGCTATCCGTCTTTCTGCTAGCCTGCAAAATCTTCTTCATCAGGCGCTCGAAAGCTTCGGTCAAGAAGCAGAAGAAAACCGCCTCTCGAGTCAGATTCGGTACAAGGAAAAGACTGCTACACTTTGACTCTGCTGGATTTCCCTCAATACACCCCGATCTTCGCAAAACTTGGCTACGAAGGAAAAATTTCCATCCCCCTTAATAGGTTTTTCCGCAGCTCCTTGAACCCAGTGTAGGGCAAGTGTAGCCCTAGGGTCTCATTTGCTTGCTAGGCAAGGCATGACAGCGCCGTCAGGCGCAAGCCTTTTAGGCTTTGGGTTTTCCCATTCCTGCTCCTGCAATGTTTGTATGGGTTACGACCTATCAATACAACTTAAAACTTAAAATCTAAGACAAGAAGATCTATACCAAAAGGGGGAGTCCCAACAAAAGTCTGCCATATAGTATTCCTTTGTCAAGAATGGGGGAAACCGAGCATTCTGATAATAAAACAATGATTCTTATAATAAATCAAGGAAAATAATAAGACCATTTGAGGGGTGCGCTTATAATAAAACAAGGAAAATATACGGTACCCATAAATGCACAAATGGACATCCTGTAAGGGTGTAAATCAATTTTTAATCTTGAAGTTGCAAGGATATAAAGTCACAGTGTATTACCTGAGAATCTGATGCAAACAGGGCATTCTGGCCAACCTGAGCCCTGATCGATCAGGACCTAAGTACTCCAGAGTCAGGCCCTCAGAAGTCAGACTTTTTTCTCTGATTTGGGCTTTTTTCTCTGATATTTCAGATTTTTTTTCCTGTGTACTCTGATAAAATCAGACTTTTTTGGGCCTCAACTCTGTAATTTTCAGACTTTTTTTAAGGCTAACTCTGAGAGTTCAGAGTTTTCTGAGAGTGTACTCTGATCATTCAGAGTACAAACGCGTCCTTGACTGGTGATTCGGACTTACGGGTCACAGCAGATTCGCACTGCCAAAGCGAAATCTCCTTGACATAGCAAATCTGAGCCTTTACATCACAAGATTTTCTCCCAATCATAGCAAAATCGCCCTGACACAACAGATTTGCGTTGTCAGAGCACCACAATTTTCGCCCAATCACAGCAAAATCGCCCTGACATTGCACATTCGCCTTTTCGCACCACAAGATTCGCCCTGACACATATATTCGCCCTGTCAGAGCATGTTTTATCGAAAATCCCCTTAGTGTAGCATGTTTCGGTAGCAGATGGGTGAAACATTGAATACACTTCTGATGAAACATTGAACAGATTGATTTTGAATGATCAGACTTTTGTTTTATGACACTCTGACATTTCAGCCTCTTTTTTATACCAAGTCTGAGATTTTCAGACTAAAATTGTGTACTAGTCTGATGAATCAGACAGGCCTAAAACGAATCTGAGGGCCTGTCCAGAGTACTTGCAAAATACTCACTCCAGGATTTCATGGGACAAGAGTTGACATTCTTGGACTGTATCCTATCCAGCAAACCACGCACCCGCTTTCTAGTTCCTTGAAAGCTTACGACATACCTACCATACTTGGACAATGAACAACACTCTATTGAAAATCCACTTGCCGTAGGAGCGACCGTAAAAGGGACGAATTGATCGATAGCATATGCAACTAAATTTGTAATATGTTGAAAACGAGTTGCTATTTGAGCAACGAGCGGGCGAGATGATATTTTGCTGTTGCCAAAGCTTGGGAGATGGTCTGGAGCAGGGGAAAGCACACACGTTCACATTGACAAAGACACAGAGACACATGGGCATATGCATGCACAAACAGACAGACACACACATTCACCACTCACACTCGAATGCTCACTCTCACACAAAAATACACATTCGCGCACGCACGAGCACACACACAAATAAAATACCAGACGGAGTGGGAAACTCAAGGAGGAATTATCAGCTTGTTGACAAATGGTGGGTTGTGCTTGATTGACACAATGTATTCTAAGCGCAGCATTGCACGACCAACCAATGCAACACTTGGCCAGGGGTAGGGAGAGTAGGTGAAAAAGGCAAGCAAAGTCACCAGCTCACAACCAACTGGTGCTGTCTTTGTGCAGTTTAAGAAAACAAATCATTCTCTGACCAGTGCCAAGCACCCTTCGCTCACCTCACTCTTCATTGTCTACTTCCAAGTACCACACACTGCTGCCTCACCTGTTCGGAAAGGGGCAGGTCGGCATCGGCTCCTCGCATGGCGACTCTGTTGGCGATCACTGTTGGCTCCGTCTCCAGAATGACACTGCAGCTCAGAGGGGAGTCAACACCACAGGTGAGGCGTCAGGCAGCACAACAGGGGACGGGCGGTTGGGGTTTGGGCAGCACAGTTGACGTTCGGGCAGCACAGTTGGGGTTCGGGCAGCACAGCTGGGGTTCGGGCAGCACAGTTGGGGTTCGGGCAGCACAGTTGGGGTTCGGGCAGCACAGTTGACCTTCGGGCATCACAATTGACGTTCGGGCAGCACAGTTGACGTTCGGGCATCACAGTTGACGTTCGGGCAGCACAGTTGACGTTCGGGCAGCACAGTTGACGTTCGGGCAGCACAGTTGACGTTCGGGCAGCACAGTTGACGTTCGGGCAGCACAGTTGGGGTTCGGGCAGCACAGTTGGGGTTCGGGCAGCACAATTTGGGTTCGGGCAGCACAGTTGGGGTTCGGGCAGCACAGTTGGGGTTCGGGCAGCACAGTTGGGGTTCGGGCAGCAGGGGACGGGAGGTCACACGTGTGGGTGACAGCAATGTCAGTCAAACGAATTCGAGACAACGAATAGATCAGAGATTCAGTGGCAAGGAACGCATAATCAGCATGGCCAGGATTAAAAGAGCCGGACACAGCAGAGCCATTCATGAACAGAGAGCAAGTATGCCACCATCGCCAGCTGCAGTCCTTGACAGGCAATCTGGACATGCACAGGCTAGGTGAAACGCAGGTTGCTCATGCATCCGTGCTGTACTAACACTGGCACAACCAATGCATGCTTGTAGAACTGATGCCATCCACCAAAAATGCCTATTCGTAAGCAACCAGGCATCCAAACTATACTGATCTGTGTGCAGTTCAGACACACCATAACACATGGCACGGATCCAGTGGTGCACAATCACATTCCCCCACCAAATCCCCACCTCACACATCCCCACCTCACACATCCCCACCTCGCACATCCCCACCTCACACATCCCCACCTCACACATCCCCACCTCGCCCACAACATCCCACATCCCCTACCCAGAGCGAACCGGAGAGTATGGGGGAACTTATTTTCCATCCAGGAGCTCATGGCGGCACAGCAGCACGAGGTTGAGGTTCTCTTCTCTTCTCCAGCACCGTCTTCTTCTCCACGCACCATAACCATGGATTGTGCATCGTTGTTCCAACGATGCACAATCCCAGTCCCCCCCCTACATCCCAACATCGTCCCCACCACACCCCCCCAATAATCCCCACCACATCCCCCCATCACATCCCCACCACATCTCAAGCTTTACCCGGAGTGGAACGGAGACCAAGCACGAGGTCCAGACGCTTTAACAAGTTCCCAGCATATTTTCAGAAATACATCAGCACCGTCTTCTTCTCCACGTTGCCCCTGCACCGCGCAACACGCGCATGTCAGAAAAAAGAGCAAACTCAACACAAGTGGAATCCACGAAATCAGAAATGATACGTTGACCATGGCAGGGGAGTGTAAGGCGATGCCATGCAGGAAACGGAGTGAGCGAAGCACAAAAGGTGAACGGAATGAGGGAGAAGAGATGAACACACACACTGTTGCTGGCCCCGGAAATGGAAGCACCTGAGGATATGCGAGACGGCTTTAAGGAAGGCGGTGATGATGGTGGAAAGGATGAGGTTTGAGTCGACTCGGTGAAGACTGCAATGAAGCACATTGTCTCACATGCGGACACATGCTGCTGTTCATGGTGGCTCCTCAGCCACAGCATGCATGCAGCACAACACTGCCACATGTGCTTACCTGCGTGATCAAGGATGCCAGCTAGGCACATGGCATGCTAGCTAAGCACAAGGCATGCCAGCTAAGCACATGGCATAAGCACGCCACCCATCTGTCCACCTGGAGACGGTGAAGAGCTCCAGCTGTCTGCCAGGTGTCAGCATGCGACTGGTCAGCGGGATTGCATGCTTGATTGCATCGCCAGGGTGCGAGGGAGGCTGAGCATAGAAGTGGGGGAATGGCGAGCGAAGAGAGGGGAAGGGTAGAAGGGAAGGAGGTGATGGTTGAGAGACGCTGGTGATTCACTGCATCGCCTGCTAGCTGTTGCTCTTGAGTGTGGGGGACCTCTGGCCAGAACTTATGTCAGAGTGTGGGGCGGACGGAGAGACAATGAAGGAGAGTGAGGAGGGAAGGGAAGAGGAGGAAAGGGAAGAAGACGAGAAGGCGAGAAGGGGTTGGTGATTGATAACCTCTCCAGCTAGCACTTGAGCCAGAGTGTGTGGCAGGCGGGGAATGGATTGTGGGGGGAAGGGGGGGAGGGGGGGAGGGGGAGGGGAGGGAGGGAAGAGGAGGGGCCGGGCAGGGGGAAGGGAAGAGAGGGAAGGACAAGGAGGAACGAGGAAAGGATAAAAGCGATGCAACCGGAGAGTGGGAGGAAAAGCAAGTCGAGCAGAGTGGGGAAGGGATCGAAAAGCAAAAGGAGAAAGGCACCTGATGGCTCTGAAGCTATAACACCATGTGTTCTCTACACCGCACCGCACTTGCGACAGGGTGCGAGCGAGGGAGGCTGAGCGAAGTAATGGGGGAATGGTGAGAGGGAAGAGAGGGGAAGGGAAAAAGGGAAGCAGGAGATGGTTGAGAGACAGTTGGTGGTTGATTGCATCGCCAGCTAGCACTTGCGCCAGGGTGCGGGCAGATGAAGAAGGACGAGGGAGAGTGGAGAGGGAAGGGAAGAGGAGGGTAAGAGGGGGGGGGGGGGAGCGGCACGCGCGTGCGCGCGCACACACACACACACACACACGCACGCACACACGCACGCACACACGCGCATGCGCAACACACACACACACACACACACACACACACACGCACGCACGCACGCACGCACGCACGCGCACGCACACGCACGCACACGCACGCACACGCACGCACACGCACGCACACGCACGCACACGCACGCACACGCACGCACACGCACGCACACGCACACACCAGCCATATCCATCCCCTCGTATCCCCACACCAGACCCCTTCCCCCTCCCACCGCTCACCCATGCACCCACCATCAGCAGAAAAAGTCCAGAACAGTTGTAACACAGCAGTAGGACCACACACGAGTCCACGTCAGCAATGGCGGGCGCCAGCAGGTGCCCCGTCAGGTGCTCTCGCAACAGAGCCCGGGCCTCCTCAGGTGTCACCTGGAACGGCACCGCCATTGGCGTCCGCGGCCGCCCTCCCCCCGCCTGTTGCGCATAGCTGCGCGCCTGCTGCCTTCCGCCGTATGTCCTATCATAGCCGCCGCCTCCGCCGTCGCAGGTGGCGCTTTTCAGACTCCTGAAATAAAAAATCGACCGCTCCCGGGATTTAGTCGCTGCTGTTGCTGGCGTGTTCTGCGATCCAGCTGGGATGCGCTACTGGTTAGAGGCAAAGGCGGTGCGCAAGGTCCGTTGTCGCGACGCCTCAAAGGCGGGGCTAGCAGAGGCGCAATGACAGATCGCGCAAACGGCGGGAAGATTGGAGGAGGGGAGGGAGGAAGGGAGCGAGAGGCGAGAGCGGGGAGGAGGTCAGGTGGGGCGGAGAACGAGCCAGCTGCGGTAGACGCGATGGGACGACCTGGAGCAGCCGCGCGTGGCGAAGGGATTGCTGCTAAGCTTGAGACCTCTCAAAACGCGCTTACTTTTGACTCGAGTGACGACTCGGTCCCAGTGCAGTGGCGAGCCCGGCTCGGGTCGCGGTGTTCGGCGAGGTTGGCGAGGAAGATAAGGTGGAATGTGACCAGGGCGGATTCAGTCTGGATCGGAACGGCGACACGCACATCCGCGAACAGGATGGCTCGAGATTTCATTCCGAACGACACTTTGCTGACGGAAACCTAAGCGATGGTGTTGATCACCATTGGAGTTGACATGTTTGGGAGGGGTGGGTAGAGGTTGCGGGGAGAGGGGGAATTCTTACCGAGCTCGACCCTTTGTGACACTGTACGAAACTGCCATGTGGCTCGCTTGACATTTCGTCCTCCAAAACTCTATCCCAGACCCTGTGTTACCACGGAAGGCGAATCATCCAAAACGATTTCGTTGAGGGCGGCGATTGGTTCGCCTCACTAATGACTTGAGCTTCCCAAGCCAAAGGTACATGAATTGCCATTTGATCACCATCAAAATCCGCATTAAATCCAGCACATACTAAAGGATGTAACTGAATTGCACGTTCTCGCACAAGTACAGGTTTGAAGGCTTGTATTCCTAATCGATGTAATGTAGGTGCTCTATTTAAAACAATAAAACGATTATCAACAACTGCTTGAAGTACTTTCCATACAATTGGTTGCTTATTTTGAATCATACTCTTTGCTGCTCGTAGATTTGGAGCTAATTGTCTAGCAATTAACTCTCGAATCATAAAAGGTTGAAAAAGTTCTATGGCCATTTCTCTAGGCAAACCACATTGATGCAAAGCTAATAAAGGACCTACTACTATGACTGAACGTCCGTTTGGATTTCTTGTCGGCGAACTTGGTTGTGGGGAAAAGTCGCGGAATTGTAAGTTGGGATGGGAAAGGGAAAGATCGATTGCTGCGCAATTTCCCCCTCCAAGTTTCCCAATTCAAGCTCTTGAATCCCAAAACTTCAGCTTACGCAGAAACGCGATGCTCATCTCGAGAACCATCATAACCCGAATGCAATCTCAGGGTATTCACAGCGCTTCGTCAGCTTCCATGGCGACAAACCTCTTGAGCTCCTCGTTTCGTCATTCAAGCAGCGGATTCCGTGATGCAATGTCTCGTCCTATATAGTCCGCTTGAGAGATCGTAGCGAACTTGTAAGTCAAGTTGAAGAACCAGCAAGTGATTAGTCATCCCGATCTCTTTTGCTTCACACGAATTCAGTCGTGTCGCTCACCGCCGCCATGCCACTTGGAAACCGTATCTTCAAGAGCATGTTGCCATTTCTGCTCGTCCTTTTTGGTACTATAGTAGGCAGCCTTCAAGCGATTCGTTTGCTCGGGAAAGGTCAACGGCTAATCCCTCGTCGCGCGTTTTTCAGGAGTGTGCTTCGCTCATGGAGCGAAGACCTCAATCTACGAGTTGTGGGACTCCCCCTCGCTGCAGAACAAGTACGTCATGTCGCCGGAGAACGTCTGGAATGCGTATCCAGCACCTAGTGTTGTCGTCTCACTCGACGGTACCGGCAACTTCACGTCCGTGCAAGACGCAGTGGACTATGTGTCCTCGACGAGTACAACAACGCACGCGGTTATTGACATACTACCAGGAACATATAGGTGGGAAGTGTTCACTGTTTGCACTGTGAATTATGCACTTTCATTGAGGGTGCTTGACCCAGCAAACGACACAGGGAGAAGGTCCTGATTCCGAAGTCCAAAGTAAGCATAATGCTTCGTGGGTCCAACCCGTTGAATACGATCATCACCTACGATGACTACGCTGCAAAAGAGCTGGCCAACGGATACGTCTTGGGAACTCTGTGGTCCTGCTCTGTCTGCGTTGAAGCCAACAACTTCGTTGCTTTCAACATCACCTTTCAGGTCAGTGCTCTTCCGTCTCCTCTTGAAACATTGCTTGGATAACATCTTCCATTGCGAAATTCCTGATGTCTTTGCCTTACAGAACTCAGCGCCTCCACCGCCGCCGCTTAGTATTGTGACAGCCAATGGTCCAATGGCGGTGGCCCTCCGCATTTCCGGGACGATGGCTGCATTCTACAGCTGCCGTTTCATTGGATGGCAGGACACTCTCTATGATCACAAGGTAAGCACTCGGCATGCCTACGTGTGCAACAAGCATCTAGTTGTAGAGGTTATGATTTTCTCACACCTGTTAAGTTCTGCAGGGCCTTCACTACTTTCGAGATTGCTACATTGAAGGAAATGTAGATTTCGTATTCGGCGATGCAACATCCGTGTATGAGGTAACTTCTCTGTTGATTAAATGTCCAGTGCTTCATTCTGGATGTCTAACGATGCCATCACCTGCAGGGATGTGTTTTTAATGTCAAAGCCAGGAAGCATAGCGGAGCAGTAGCAGCTCAGTACAGGAGGTCGACGACTATGCGGTCTGGCTTCGTTTTCCTTCGCAGCATTATATCAGGGAATGGTCAGGTGAGTAGATCGACGAGCTGCATTGCCTCATTTTATCCGCAAGTGAAGATCTTCCACTGTGATCGCTTGTTTCAGGTTTACCTGGGAAGGGCTTGGGGAAATGCGAGTAGAACGGTTTATGCTTGGTCCTATATTGGTAACGTTGTTAAAGAAAAAGGCTGGTACGACTGGGGTGATGCATCCAGACACAACACCACCTTCTTTGCCATGGTAAGTGACGGCCCATTTTTCTGTTTTTTGGTTTCCTGGATCCTAGTCAACCGCTGCTCCTACTTCCAGTTTGACTGTTGGGGACCCGGAACAAATACAAGCGGGTGGGTGCCATGGAGCCATGTGCTCAACACCTCCCAGGCGCAGCCGTTTCTCTCGTACAGCTTCATCGATGCTTGTCAGTGGCTTGGTCCGCTGCCTCAAGGAGCTGGGAACCTGACCTACCAGCTGGGCTACAGGGTGTGGTTTGATCAAGTTCCACCAGCCCCAACATTCCCTTACACTTGCAATTCCGGTAAATTTAAAGTATTTCTGACTGTCTGATGCCTGATGTGAAATACGGCTGAAGTGCGTATCTTATCCTTGTTGCAGAGACTCCACCAACTCCTCCAGAGCCTGTGGTTCAGCCTCCCTCGACAGCACCAAATGGTTCACCTGTTCCACCATCACCACCTCCACCTGTAACTGTCTCTGGAAGTGTTCTTTTGCCTCCATCTCTCGCGACCCTGCTTCGTGGTTATCCCCCGCCACCTCTGCAGCCACAGCAACGAGCTTCTTCAAGTTTGGCTTCTCCAGCTCCTGCTGGATGAACACTTTTCTTTGATTTCTTGAATCTCGTCATTCATTGTGTCCTTCCCAGTCTACTGCTGGTGCAGTTTGGGCTTGGAAATAAGAAACTTGCTCTATGGTCTAAGTAACTGTTTTTTGCCATTGTATCTGTCAGACTTGCCATGTCATGGTATGTTATTGCAGCATTCGTTTGATGCAGCTTATTCAACAATTTTGCTGGACAAAGATGCATCACTAATTTTGCGGGCCAAAGATGCATCAATAACACCTACATATCGGTAGGGACTAGGGTGACGTTTTTGCTGCAAAAGCCGCGTATACACTGTAAAGTTTAGGCGTCAGCCACTAGTCTACAGACAAAGCAGTACCGGCCACTGTTGATCTGAAGCATTTAGTCATCAGAGAAATCACTAGCTGTTGTCTCACTAAAGCATATGCCAAAATTTTCAACAATAAAATCCCGTTTGTCCACGTGGGTGGGAGCTGACAATGGATCAGTAAAAGGGACCCTGCTAGAATACGAACGCACCTACATTTCAATACGGTATAGTTGATATTGATTTCTTGTCATTTGAGCAATGAGCGAGCCAGGTGATCCTTTGCTGTTGCCAAAGCTTGGGAGATGGTCTGGAGCAGGCATACACACACACACAGACACAAACACACACCGAAAGTGTATGTGCATGCAGACGCACACAGAGACAAAAAAAAAAAGCACTCTCATAAACACACCCAACACAACCATACACAAACGCACACATAAAGTGGCAGATGAAGCGGGAGTCACAATGGGGAATTATCAGCTTTGTTGACACATGGTACCCTGTGCTTGAAAAGCTGCAGTCTGAAGGCAACACTGCATGACTGACGCAAGCTTCATGGGCCGACGGATCGGGAAAATGGATGGAGCAAGTCAGTTAGGGCATAGCATGGGAGTCAACAGCTCACAACGGACTGGTTGACTTGGTGCACTTCTAGTGGGAGTAGCACGCACTGACCCAATCCAAGCACCAATCATTCACTGTTCACTGGTCTATGCGAAGAGCCACGCACTGCTGCCTCACCTGTTCCGAAAGAGGCAGGTCAGCATCGGCTCCTCTCATGGCGACTCTGTTGGCGATCACCGTGGGCTCCGTCTCCAGAATCACCCTGCCGCACAGATGGATGGGGTGTCGGGCAGCAAGATAACTTTTGAGCCGACTCACAAGGCAGGTCGCCATCGGCCCTCTCACTGTGAGCTTCGTCTCCAGAATCACCCTGCCGCACAGATAGGATTCTGCCGCACAGATAGGATTCTGCCGCACAGATAGGATTCTGCCACACAGATAGGATTCTGCCACACAGATAGGATTCTGCCGCACAGATAGGATTCTGCCGCACAGATAGGATTCTGCCGCACAGATAGGATTCTGCCGCACAGATAGGATTCTGCCGCACAGATAAGATTCTGCCGCACAGATAGGGTGTCAAGAAGCGCAATTAAGGTTCAGGCAGCAACGGACGGGAGGCCACATGGGTGGGTGAAGGCAATGTCCATCACAAGGGTTGGAGAGAACTATCACTAAAGAGAATCAAGCGTAAGGGGAGCCTGTTCAACGCAGTTGAGATCACGACAGCCGGTCACAGCAGAGCCTGCCATGCACAGAGTGCAAGTATGCCACCACCGCCACCTGCAGTGCAGCGCAGGCTACCTTCATATGCACACACACACTAGCTCTACACGCGCAGGTTGCTCACACAACACTGCTCTGCTAGCACTCATGCAACCGAACTGCGGCCATCCACTGCAAGTGCTGCCTTCTTTATCACCCAATCAGGTGTCCAGTCATTCAGCCATCCACCTATGCTGGTCTGCGTGCAGTCCGCACATCATAACACATGGCAGGCACCAACGATGCTCATTCCAAGTCCCCCACCACACACCCCGCCACGTTCACCCCTACATCCCCCACCACATCCCCCCCCACATCCCCGCCACATCCCCGCCACATCCCCCCCCACATCCCCGCCACATCCCCCCCCACATCCCCCACCACATCCGCAGGTCTACCCAGAGCGGCAAGGAGAGCAAGCATGCCTTACCCGCCGTCTACGAGCTCGTCGCACAGCAGCACGAGGTGACTTCGACCTTTGAGTCGACTCTAAATGCACCACCCAGAGGGGAACGAAGACCAGTCGGAGACTCACCCGCCGTCGACGAGCTCGTCCAGGCACAGCAGCACGAGGTCGAGATTCTCCAGCACCGTCTTCTTCTCCACGTTACCCCTGCGAAGTGAAACACACGCATGTCTAATACATTAGTAACGAGATGACTTTTGAGAGTCAGCAACACGAGCCGAGGAAAGTTGACCATGGCTGGGGAGTGTGAGGCGATGCGATGCTATGCAGGAAACGGAGTGAATGAAGCACAAACGGTGAACGGAATGAGGGGAAGAGACGAACACACTGCTGCTGGTCCCAGAAATAAATTCACCTGAGGAGGTGCGAGACGGCCTCGAAGAAGGCGGTGAGGACGGTGAAGAGGATGAGCTCGTTCTCGTCCTCGCGCTGACCTTTGAGAAGACTCACAAGGAAGTGGGTGTACCTGAGCAGATGCGAGACTCGAAAGTCCGAGAGTGCACGCACCTGAGAAGATGCGAAACCGCTTCAAAGAAGGCGGTGAGGACAGTGGAGAGGATGAGCTCGTTCTCGTCCTCGCCACCCGTCACGTAGAAGTGCAGATCCGCGATAAACCTGTACACCACTATGAACCCCTCGAATATGCCGATCTCCGCTGCACGCGCCACACGCAACACGCGGAGAGAGCAATGATCCGCACGGGAAACGAAAAGGTACTATTGAGATGCTCAGATACTGTTTTGAGTCGACTCAAAATACTTCCATACGGGAAACGAGAACGTGCGACTAAAAATGTCAGCTTCCGCAGCGATATTGGATGATAGGAGCAGCTGATCGCAAGGTCAGGATTCTTTCACTTTTAATATCGCCGCGTGCCTTAGAAGGTGTTTAGTGTACTTCGAGAAGGGATAGGTGAACTGCTCGGGAAAAATCAAGAGAGCCCACCTTCTGCTCTGGCATTGGCGCGTTGTGTTTTGCTCAGAAGCGATTTCTCGAAATTTAGCTTGGCTGCGAGAGTAGGCCAATCGTCAGAATAGTACTTCACCGCTACTCGCTTCCCTTCTGAATCCAGTAGCAAGATGTTCTTTATCAATGGCGCCGACACCTGCGAGAAGTTAACGGAATGTGAGGCCGGATGAGGGGAGTTCGCAGCGAGATGTAAAAATGTATTTTTCCGTGTAGAGATACTGCGGATACTGATCGGCATACCTCCATGGCGATTATAGCTTATAATCACGAGGCAACGCCCCAACACTGCACACCAAAAAACCCTACTGATTTATGGCACCCGGAACAGCGAACTACCGGCGTTGTAGAGGTAAACGAGTAGTAAGAAGTATTCTAGTGGATGTGGTGTGGAGGCTGGTGTGGTCGTGATGTGTTCAGCGAATCTGCAATGGCGGGAAGCTGAGTTTGAATCTGCACTGAGAGAAACTAGTGACGGATCAGCGGGAACGTCAAGCCTCGGATCCGACTGATTGTTGGTGCTGCTGCTGAGTTTGAATCTCCAACTGAAGCATTGATTTTGATCGGAGCGGTTGGGTCTGGCTGAACGCGCTTAATGCGCGGTGTATGGGTGTGCAGTGTTTAGTTGGTGGATCGAAGGAAGCACAATTGCAGGAGGGGTTGGGTTCTGCTCGTACCGGTATTGCGACAATTGTTATTGTGAATAAGGCCATTCATTATGACAACCAACCAGATCAACTACCTACCGTATGATAGAATCTAGGCCAATGGATATGAACCAATACTGCCTTCCAAAACACTAGTTGCATTCAGCCCTTTACAAAAGCTCCTGCAACCTGAAAAGGATCTTGAAAATATATGCCTTTTTTTCATGCCAGTTCATTCAGCATTTGACCAAAATTCACCTTAGAGACACTTTATTATGCGTTAGCCGTCAGCCTACCAGCCTGGCATATTCGTATCATTGCCAGGCCTCAGCACTCTACTCGCTCCCCCATCCCGGCCCCCACTCCCTCTCCCACCATCCGCACTCGTCCCCACCATTTCCTTCAGCTTCGCCACCTCAGCTTCGCACAGCACCAGTGCATTCCGCACCTCTGAAAACGTCGGGTCCCTGGGGGATCCGTCGCTTAGCGGAGAGTCTCGCTTAGCGGCCTGCCGCAGCAGCTGCAGGGCCTCCTGGGTTAAGCGCAGGCGCGAGACGGAGGAGAGGGGCCGCAGGCGCGAGCGGTCCCTGAGGGCGAGCGCCCAGTTGAGGAGAGCTGGCGGGAGGGGGAAAAAAGTTGGTGTGAAATGGGGGTGGGAGGAGAGAGTTTGGAATAAGGTGAAAAGAGACAATGCACAGAGGAGAGGGGGCACAGGTGCGAGTGGTCCCTGAGGGCCAGAGCCCAGTTGAGGAGAGCTGGACGGAGGGGGAACGCCAGGGGGGAAGGAAATGGGGGTGGGAGGGAGCTTGGGACAAGCGGAGAGGAGGAGGCACTTCACAGACAGGCATCTTGAGAGGAAGGGAGGCAGAGGCAGAATGAGGAACACAGCGGATAAGTGGTGAGAGAAAGAGGTTGGGGGTGTAAAAGAGGATACGAAAAGAGGCTAAGAGAAGAGGAAAGGAAGAACGTACGCAGGGAAATGAGTAGAATACAGCAGATGTGGGACGGAGAAAGTGGAAGTGGGAACGTGAAGGGCACTCACCACTGGCGTGCCAGCGATCAGTCATGGAGAGCATGGCTTCAAACTTGTCAATGGCAGCACAGAACATGCGGTCTGCTAGCGCCTTGTACTCCTGGTGGGTGAAGTGTGGGGGGGGGGGGGGGCATGGCATTTGCGAGATGTCTCAAAAGCAGAACAAGCAGTCCGCTAGCTAGCGCTATTTATTCCTGGCAAAAGAGAAGGGTGAGGGAGAGATGGGGAAAAGGGCAGCACCAATGCGAGTGGGGGAATGCGATGGGGAGAGGCAGTGCACAGAACATGCGGTTTGATCGCCTTGAACTCCTGCCAAGGGATGCTGTTTGCTCCATTCTCACGATTTCGCCTCTCCTCTCTCCCCTCACTCTGATCTCCCCCGCACCTCACCTCATTATCCGCAGCCGCATCAGCCACAAGCTGACAGCAGAGCCAGCCCTCACCTCAGCTGAAGAGCAGAGGGTTAGGCAGAGGGTTAGGCGGTACCGCGGGCACTGAGCATGTGCGCATCCCGCCTGTCCATGCTCAGTGCCCGAGGTACTGCCTATCCATGCTGAGAGCCTGGCGGTACCACCTATACGTCTGCTCTCTCATCCTACCTACCCCCTCACTACCCCTCTCACCTCATTGTCCCCAGCCTCCTCGGCCACAAGCTGCCCACGGTAGCACAGAGCGAGCCCCCAGTTGAACAGAGCACGTGCATCCCGCCGGTCCATGCTGAGAGCCTGCCGGTACTGCCGGCCGGCCTGCACCAGCAGCTGCTCGCACTCATCCGCTAGCCGGTCCATTACCGCTGCTGCTTCCCTCGCTACCTGCTCCTGCTGCACCCCCGACAACTCCCCCCCCAGCACCGCCCCCGCCCCTCCCGGCACCCCTGACAGACCCCCTCCTCCCTCGCCCCTCGCCCCACCGGCCCCTCCCAGCAACCCCGCCAGCGGCGACTGGCTCCTTAGCAGCTGCACCGTGCGCAGCTTCACCTCCCCGTGCGCCAGCAGTGCGTTCCCCAGCTGCCCCATGGCAGCTACACTGACAGGGTCCAGCTGGCAGGCGCGCTCAAAGAGGGAAGTGGCGCGCTCTAGGAAGGCCTCTGCCATGCCGATCTCTATGCGCCCCTGCAGCCCGCTGCGGCCTTCTTGCAGGAGCGTTTGCCCCTCGGACATGTACTGGTTGAAGCGCTCTCGCATGGAGAGGGAAGTTCCGGGGTCGGAGGGTGGTGTGGTTGTGGTGGTGGCGGCGGTGGTGCTGGGGTTGTTGTTGCTGCTGCTGGTGTTGGAGTTGGCGCTGGTGTTATTGATTCTGCTGGTGCTGCTTCTGGGGTTGGACGAAGGAGAACCTGGCGTGACTGTGTCACCAAGCCGTGCGTTCTGCTCCGTGCCCTCTACTGCCCTGGGGGCAGCAGAAGAACTGTCGCCACCAGCCATGCTGCCCCCACCAGCAAGACCCCTCACCACCATTGATTTCTCCTGTGCTCCTCGCTGCTGCTCCCTCATCTGCTGCTGCTGCTGTTGCTGCCGAAGTGCGTTTGTCTCCCAGGTTTCTTCCTCTCCCTCCAACTTTCTACCCTCTCCCCTATCTCCGTCCATCTCTCCCACTCGCCCATCCCACTCCCTCCCACCAACACCAATCTCCCGGCCAACCTGCTCTGGCATCTCACCTCTCCCCCCCTCAACCCTCCCTTCCTCACCAGCAGGCACCCACGCTCGCCCCCTTCTCTTGCCCTCCCCTCTCCTACTATCACTCCCCATATTATCAGATCCACCATACTCGCTCCCTCGTGCTACAGCACCGCCATCATTTCCGCTTACCCTCCCACCCCATTGCTCCCTTCCCGCTCGCCTTCCCTCCCCTGCCTCCCTCCATCCGTCCCCACCGCCCCTCCACTGCCCCTCCCCCTCTCTCCCTTCCCTCTCCCCGCTCCTCACACCAGACTGCTCAACTGCTCCTCTTTCCCAGACACCACCATCCCTTCCCAACCGTCCCACCCTCCCATCCCTTCCCTCGTTATACTCACCACTCGCCTGCCCATCCCCTCTCCATAATGGATTCTCTCTCCTTCTTCCCTGCCCTCTCACTCCCTCGCCCCTTTCCCCTCCCTCTCCCTGACCGAACCTCTCCCTTATTCCCCCACGCAGCCCTCCCCTTCCTTCTCTATCCCAATCGTTGTCACTACCCGCCTTCCAGCCTTCCTGCTCATCAGTCAAATTCTCATCGATATAGTCCCACTCCCCCCTTTCCGTCCCACTCCGCTCCCCCATTCCGCCACCTCCGCCAACCCCCCTTCCCCCACTCTCTCCTTGCTGTGCAACCCATTCTTCTCCCCTCTCTCCTCTCATTACTCCCCCTCTCTCTCCTCCCCTCTCTCCCTCTCTTACTCCTTCTCGTTCTCCTCCCCTCCTTCCTCCCCTTTCCCCCATTCCTCCTCGCGCCTGCCCTGCATCCCATCCCCCCAAACCGTCTCCTCCGCTTCCCCTTATAGCATCTCCCCACCCACCCTCCCCCTCCCCTCCCCCGCCTCCCCCACCTCCCCATCCCCCTGACCGCTCCCCTCCCCCTCCCCTCACCGCGCTCGCCACCCCCAGCGGCATCTCCCTGCCCGTCCGCCCGCCCATGCCCATCCCCCGCCCCCCGCCTCTCCCCCCGCGCCCCCTGCCGTCCGCCTCCCACCGCAGCGTCTGCTGGAGCGGCCCTCTCACGCCCATCGTGGTGCTCTGAGATGCCTCGAACGACCCTCTCGCCCCCGCAGCTGTGCTTTGAGGAGCCTCAAAGGCAGCTCTCATCCCCATCACTGCGCCTGCTGCATGAGCTTGAGGCGCCTCAAGCGACGCTTTCACGCCCACGAGAGCCTCCTGCTGCTGCTGCTGCTGCTGCTGCTGCTGATGCTGATGCTGGAGCGACTGGGATGGAGGCAGAAAATTCGGGTGGTGCAGCGAGGCAGGAGGGCGGTGATGGAGGGACTCCGCGGAGGAATCAGAGGGTTTCACTGAGGCAGCGGAAGGAGCGGAGGAGTTGGATTTGTCGGTCAAGGAGCCGGCAGCCGCGACGACCATGGCGGTGCGCGCAGCCATGGATAACGCGAGGATACGCATGAGGTTGCTCGGGTCGATAGCAGGTGGTGCTGACGTGTCATGAGGCGACAGTGACGAGGCACCGGGAGAAGAAAGAGGAGAATTCGATTGCGTGGGGAAGCTCCATCCCTGAAACTGGTGAGGGTCCCCATTTGGGTATATTCTGGAAGGATTAGCAGAATTTGATGCGGTGAAGTGGATACCCCACCGGCCAGCGTCCGCATTACTATTCGCCAGAGAGTCCGCGTGATCGCGGGCTTGATGCTCGCTTGATCCAGACCAATCTTCAGCGTCTGGTCTGGCCCATCGTCCACTCCACCCCTCCGCTGCTCGCCGAATTATCAATCGCCGATGCCGCGACGGTGTTGTTACGCGATGTGACGGTGTTGCTAGGCGACGCGACGGTGTTGTTACACAATGCCGGACGGGTAACGATGGCAAGCAAAGATGGCAGTTAATTTTACAAATAATTGAACGATCGGCAATTTTCCGGGATGTCAGGCTTGGAGGTGATAACAGCGATGGCAGCGGTAGTGTATTGGCCGTCGCTTGCACGTGAACGCACTCCATGACGGATAGGCGCGATGCGTTCGCCTAATTTGCGGTCAGGAATGGCCAGTGGCTCGTGAAAACTGGCTGAAATGGACGGACGCAGGGTTTCGCGTCCGGGATAAGAAGTTGAGAATTCCAGGCAGAACGGCGGCTGAAGCATAACTAAAATCCACCATCTCCTTAGACCATGAGACCAAGCGCGAGTGATCTCTAGCTACTATGTATGTGGGGAAGAGATCATCAAGGGGCCAAACATTAGCAGGGAAGTGGCCAGATTAGGGCCGCGTGAGTCGCACCCTAGTACGTAGGTCCGAACCAGCGTACGAGCCTAAATTTTATTTTCAGAGCCATAACAAATATAAACCCCTATTGGATGGCATGCTTTTAGGGAGAATCAACCCTAAACACTCTGCGACAAGGTGTTTAGGGTTGACCTGATTCTAGACAAAATTCCGTCAAATTGATGGGTGATTAGGTCTAAAACCTAATCGGGCTAGTGCGACGCTGGTTCGGCACTGCTTCGAAAGGGTGCGACTCACACGGCCCTAATGTGGCACCTTCTCTGCTGTTTTCCGGCCCCAATTTGGTCATTTCCGATGTATGTGACCGTTGTTCTTCATCACTGAATGATCATGCGGGATGAGACACTGGGGAATGGGGTGGAGAAGTTTGGCAAGGGGTTAGGAACGTTTCAAATAAACAGAGAGGAATGAAGGGGGATTCAACTGATCCTCGGAGGGAAAAGATCAACCAGGGGCCGAACAGTGCCAGAAGGGTGATCAAAGTAGGATTTCGAACGTAGGATTTCGAACCAGAGCTGCCTAAACGACTAGGCGATTACGCCGAACCGTAAGTAAAAGAGATTTGCGAGAAGAACCGAAAACTGTATTGATTTTATTTTGTTTGGGTTTTAGACCTCCGTCTACTACAACGCGCGCGTCGCCTTCTTCTGGTAGTAAAAATTCGGCGTGTCAGATTGTGAGTACGTATAAAATGTTATATTCTGGAATATATATTGCACTGCCTGCGTCAGCAGGCAGTGCAATGAGTCAGCGCGGGCAAGAAAAAAAATAAACCCCAGTCGGGTTCATGCCATCCGAGGGAGCCTCAACCCTAAAATTTTAGGGTTGAGGCTCCCGAATGGCATGCCGTAAGCCATGGGGTTTATTTTTTTTTGCCCTCGGGCAGCGTGCTGACTCAGTCGGTAGCGCTACCGGGCGCGATTTTAGGGTTGAGGCTCCCGAATGGCATGCCGTAAGCCATGGGGTTTATTTTTTTTCCCTCGGGCAGCGTGCTGACTCAGTCGGTAGCGCTACCGGGCGCTACATATTATATTCTGGGGGGTACATATCACCCACCCAATAGTAAACGCACAGAAAAAATGTTTATTACCCACTCGGAAACGGATGCGACTCCGGGGGCATCAACCCTAAATACCAGGAAGTTTTTCGTTTTTAGGGTTGATCCATCCCGAAAATGCATCCACGTTCTCTATGATTTTTAGTTATTTTGGCTGCCCTAAATGTTCCCAGTGGAGTCGGCTCGCTAATCGACACGCGAGCAAAAATGCGAACCGGTACACGCCACTACTGACATAATTTTGCGCAATAAACAAAGACTCTCTTTTAAAAACTCCTCTAGCAGCGGTCTGGTAAGTTCCGTGCCTCTTGGCCCCTGGTTGATCACCCCTCTGCAACTGTTCGGCCCCTCGTTGATCTTCTCCCATCCTCGGAAGCTCCTCGTGGAAGTTACGGCGAGGTACACGTCACAGGCCGAAGCTGGATTGCTATTGGTTGGTACGCCCAGCTTTCGTCCGACGTCATTATTGAGTCATCTGCGATTAGATGACCACAGTTTCCAAAACACACGCCCATACAGAACCGGGGTTGGAATTACACGACAAACATAAAATTTGTGACTATCGTCAATGATCGGACGGCTCTCTGTTGTTCTCCCGTCAAAGGCTCATTCTCTAGTGGGCTTCTTGTCGAGAATCCCCACAATGGGGTATGTGCCTTCCCTATCCTCTATCCCCTCCACAACCCTATCCCCCCTCTCCACCCCCACCTCTCACTCCTTTCCAGCAACCTCTGCTTTTCTCCCTCCCCACTGCAGAACCTAGTCCTTTTCCCCTCTTCGCTCACCTCAGTTGTAGGGTCAGGCAGGGCGAGCCTCGTGACTCGTTGTTACACGTAGAATCATCCCGTGCGCAAGGTATGAGTTCCGGATTAGGCTAGGTTAGTTCTCGTTAGTGATTCTAGTCGCCTTTTAGCTCCGAATTCGTACTAGTTTTTGCGCCTCCGTCGTCGTCTAGCTTGCTTATTCTCTAACTTGTTCTTATTTCAGATGGATCGGGAGAAGCTTATGAAGATGGCCACTGCCGTCCGCACCGGCGGCAAGGGCACTGTTAGGAGGTACAGTTTTTATCGTTTATTAGGGTTCTAGTTACGACAGGCGCAAGTCGGATGTAGAATATTCGGGCCTGTGATGCGAAAGGCTTTGACAGGGTTTTGGTGCAATCAAGACTGACTCGCGAAGAGATTGAGCTTGTTTCAGTAGTTTTAGCGTTGAGGGTTTTTTCTTACGCCTGATGTGGTGTTCTTTGTCAATGCTAGTTGCACATAAAATAGAGTATATGCTACCAACGATTAGAGCCACCTTTAGATTTCAGCGGAGTAGTACTTTGACGGGCTTTTTAACTGCGCGCTTTACGCGTTGTCATACTGTTGTTTTCGCATTTCCTCGCTGATGTAGACGTGTTCGTTTTTGCTGGTTCCTCATTCGTATCAGAAAGAAGAAGGCCGCTCATAAGACGACGACCACCGACGACAAGAGGCTATCAAGCACTCTGAAGCGCCTCGGAGTGAACACGATTCCTGGGATTGAGGAGGTTAACATTTTCAAAGACGACACGGTCCTCCATTTCTCCAACCCTAAGGGTACAATCACACTGTTATTCTGTTGTCCATCATCCTAAAGAGATTATGGTACATGCGTGCTATTCCGTGTTACCTGTTCAAAGTTGCTCTTATCAGCTCCGGAGTCATTTGACATCCTTGGTCCTTACAATCTGTTCCCGTTCATTCATCGTATCCACTTGCAGTGCAAGCGTCCATCGGAGCTAACACATGGGTTGTCAGTGGCGTTCCTCGGGAGAAGAGTAAGTCGCTTGTCCGCCTTTCTTTGCATTCTTCCCGTTGTCTCCCGTCTTTTTCGGACACGCAAACTGTTTCCGCGAGTCTTATGGATGTGGGTGCAATGTCTGGTTCTTGTGTTTTATTTTCAGATCTCCAAGAATTGCTGCCTGGCATCATTAACCAGCTTGGTAAGTGGAGGTTGACCTAAGCGTATAAATGAATGTGAATGCGCATTGGAATGAATGTCAGGGTGTACGTGGATTAGTTTGCACACACAGGATGACCCGCGTCATTTTCTCTCGCTAGTGAACTTTGTTCCCTCTCCCCCCCCTTTCCCACCTTGCCGCCCTTCCCCGCTTTCTCCTCTCCCTTCCCCTCTTCCTGTTTATTCAGGCCCTGATAACTTGGCTGGACTGAAAAAGATTGCTCAGGAGTACCAGAAGGCGGGTGAGGCTGCCGCTGCTGCCGGAGCTGCTGCTGAGGATGACGACGAGGTGCCAGAGCTTGTTGAGGGGGAGAACTTTGAGGATACTTCCAAAAAGGAGCCAGCAGCTGCAGAGGCTTGATTGGGTTCACACGGGAGTGGGTTCAGGCGCGGCGCGGCTGGAAAGTCTACAAGTTTAGCTCCTGAAGTTTTGCGAGGGATGGCGCTTAGAAGATGTGGCTTGGTGGGAGAACCTGCTCATCTTACAGTATGGGATAACTGGACGAAGCTGTTGGCTGGCTCCAGTTTATTTCGTCAGTATTGCAGCCGGTTTGCTCAGCAATCACGTGTAGAAAGACGGGACTGCGGTCATTCGTATAGGACCGTCCTAGTGGGTTTATTTTTTGTTGATCCATGCCCAATGTGTCTCCTCTGTCCCCTCAAAGTCTACTGGAGAAAGCACAGTAAAAATCTTACATTCATTGTTCTGGTAAATTAGGGCTGTTGTTCTGACTCAGCAAGTTAGACAAGGTTGTAAATAACCCCTTCCAGCCATATTTGTGAAACGTCCTATTGTTTCGTTGTTGTGTACACTAGGGAAACGCTATCGCAACGAAAGCTACCGAATCTAGGCTACCACCTCCACTGCCCAGCTGGCACTTCGTTCCTAGGCATGCGGCAAACCACCACCACTTCCACACGAGAAACTTCGGCGGTGCAATTCCATCTGCGCGGGGCAATCCACTAGGGGAGGGACATTTGAGGCACAGAAACCACCATAGCTACAGTTGTAGACGGTAGTGACCCATCCTAGTGGACAATGGCACCTATGCTATGGGCAGTCCTCGGGTCAACCTTTATCCATCGGGCCTACGTTACGAGCTTTCGCTTCCTGGGACACGTCACAGTGTTGCGTCACTGTTCTGTTCAGCGCGTCTCGAAAGAAAAAGCAACACACACCTCAACAGTAGTACGGTAGGAGGCGCGCGAAATGGTGGCGGTGGCACTTGGTGCGACCCGATCCAGCATCGCACTCCACAGGCATGGCGGAAACACGTACCAGTTCATGCCAACAGCAACTTCAAGGATAGTGTCCTACTATAAAAGGCAGCCATGGCCAGACCCTTCTTCATCAGCTCTCACCGACGCCTTTCCCCTTCACTGGAGTCATTTCCGGGAACCAACACACCCCTCACTCTAGGAACCATTCTCCACATTCGCCTCCCTTCGTTTCGGCCACCATTCCCCTCTGTTAGTATCAAACCACCTTGCAACGGGTATAATGGCTGCGGGTAAACCGTCCTTCGCACTGCCGGTGCTCGTGCTGCTGCTGGCGGCGGCGTCCCTAGCGGCGGCGCAGGTGGTCAGCCCCCCCAAGGCGGACGTGGTGGCGGAGCTTCAGGCGCTCAGGCGCGCGCTCAGGCTGCGCCCCAAGTACGCGCTCATTCGCCGCGTCGCCACCACGCTGCTGGGTCGTCAAGGTGAGATGATACCATCCCACCCCCTCCCCCCTCCCCCCCCCCTCTCGTCCCTCCACTGTTCCCTCCCCTCCCCTCCCCACCGCCCTCCCGCTGCGCGCGCACTCTTTGCTGTGTGACTCAGCAATACGCGACTTTGAATTGAATCAGACCCTCATAATCATGCTCTTTTTTTTCTTCTTCTTCTTCTTCTCCTGTTCTTTTTCATTCGCTCGTCGTCGCGCAGACGATTTCCCCGAGGACTTTGATTTCAGCGACGTGGTGAACAAGACGCTGCTGCTGCCCACCAACGGCGCCATCGTCGGCGCGGGCGTGCGCAAGCTGCCCACCAACGAGACCGACGGCGCGCAGTACGAGGATCTCGGCCTCATGAACGTGCTTGACGGGTACCTCACTATCGATGATATCAAGGCCGGCGCGATTCTCAAGACGATGCACGACGACAGGGTTCTGGTGGTGAAGGATTCGCGCGGGGCGGTGGTGGCGCTAGGGCAGGAGGGGCAGAAGCGGCGGCAGTGGTCGGTGGTGGTGGACGCGAATCTCTTCAAGGGCAAGTTCGTCGTTGCACACGGCGTCAACCGCATGCAGCAGCCGTAGAATGTTCTTTTCGCGCGTACTCAGTCGCTGCTGGCCTTCAAATGTTGTTTTTTTACATCTGGACCAGCAGCGTGGGTCTGGTGCGGTTGCGGTTTCCTCCCGCGCATCTGTCAACGAAAACTTTCTTTCCCGGTTTTCTAGGTTGTCATCTTGCCAGCCCCAGCTGCGTCTCCTTCCCTTGCGTCTTCCACGCGCCCCCCACGCCAGAGCTACGTCTGCGCTTGCTGGTCGTATCCGTGGTTGTTTCAACCAGCAAGCGGAGACGCAGTACTGGAGTGCGTACTGCGGCGAAGATCTTGGGTACTTGTATGCGCTATTGTGTGACCTGCTCTTGTGGATCTTGTCTCTGTACGCTTTAGATGTCGCTACAATCAATGCTCATTACATGAAGTTCCTGAAAGTGGTGCTGCAAGCTAGATAGTGTTAAACAAGACTCGTCGTTTCTCGACGGAAGGGTTGCGTAGAAGCTGCATTTTCAAGGTGTGCGCGTCATGTACCCATTCCTAAAACAAAAAGATATATATTGCTGAAATTCTGTCATAGAAGTCATGTACGGTAAGAGCATGTTCAAATCCTTTACAATATTGTTTTCCATACTGTTTTCAATAAAAAATTTTTGATATTAAATTGCTGCCTCTGCTTCGACAATAATACAGATGCCTTCATGTTTTTATTATATTTCATATTAATACAAATTTTGGATTTAGAAAGCTTGCTTTCTTGCATGTAGCAATTGGCATCGTCTCATTTCAAATGGGTTTAGTACAATTGAAATCTAAGCAGTAGCATTACATTCGTGTGCTGACATGTGACTGGGCTGTCCTATTTCCTAGGGGGGGTGGGCGGGAAGATTGGCTAAACCGTTTGAAAATGAGAGACGTGGGTGGAGGGAAATGACCTCCAGCCCACGTTTTGTACTCCAAAACGAGCGATTAGCGCGGTTCGACGCTGCCCATTCCCACATTACAAGCAGCTTCGCTTTCAAAATACATAATTTTGAAAAGCGTTACAGCTTTTAAAAATATACATATTTAGAAAGCTTGCTTTCTTGCATGTAGCAATTGGCATCGTCTCATTTCAAATGGGTCTTCTGAGGCAGGTGTCGCGTTAGTGGTCGTTGTCGCGTTTGTGCCGCTGAGTGTTGCTCTGGCGACGCGAATCTTGCCGGATCTTGGACGTGTCGGGACGCTCCAACCAACTGTTCGGCCGCCGGCGTGATGTACATCTCCTTGGCCGAATCGCTACGCCACATGCCCAACCGTTTTAGAATGCGATCTGCCACGCCTGCGTTTGCTGCGACCGTTGCAGCGCCTTTGCGGAATGAGTGGGTGTCGGAACAACAGACTGGAATGGTGAACTAGAAAGGACTGTGAGTACAAATATGAAACACTAACGTTGTGACCCCCCGATAGGCTAACCCACTACAGCCTACTCAAATATAACATATACAATGTTTGACACACCCCCATAGGCAAAGTGGGGGAGACCTAGGGGTCACAAGACCAGTCAAGGCAAAGCAAGGCAACAACAAGCTCAGGGTGGATCTCAAGGATTCCACACAAATTCCGAGCACAAGCTAGTGGTCACAAGACCAGTTCACATGCAGGTTTATAACAGAGCATGGGATACAGTGATCACAACCTAGCAAGAGTAAACATGCAGGTAGATATATATATAGTGATCACAGTACAAGCAAGGTCAAGAGGTAAGTAAGTGAGGTCCAGTAGGCACAAGGCCTAGCAGAGTACAGAAGCGCTGATGGTCACAAGGCGGAAGCGCCTTGGTGAACACATCAGCAAGGTTGGCCTCAGTGGCCACGTAACGCAGACAAAGCTGACCGCGCTGCTGCAGCTCTCGAGCAAGGAAGTACCGCAGGGCGATGTGCTTCGTTCTGTGCTCCAGTCTGTGCTCCTCACACAAGGCAATGGCAGCCTGGTTGTCGACGTACAGCACTGGAGGAGAACGAGGCCGCTCACCCAAGTCGGTCAGCAGGTAGGTCAGCCAGCGTAGCTCCTGGGCAGCCATGGCTGTGGCGTAGATCTCAGCCTCACAAATGGAGCTGAGAACAGAAGAAGAGCGTGTAGAACGCCAAGAAACTGAGCCAGAGCCAAGGCTGAAGGTGTAACCCTGAGACGACCGCTGAGTAGCCTGGTCGTCCGCCCAAGAAGCGTCTGAGTGTCCAGTAAGTACAACTCGGTCTCGCCCTCCAAGCACTAGCCCCATGCCCGACGTACTGCACAAGTAGCGCAACACCCTCTTAGCGGCATCCATGTGCTCCTTCCTGTGACGGCCAGGAGCGACATAGCGTGCAAGGATGCTAAGAGGGTATGCAAGGTCAGGTCGAGTGCAGGTCATCAGGTACATGAGGCAGCCCACAAGCTCTGGATACGGGCCACTCGACTCTACGGACTCATCCGAAGGCAGAGCTGAGAGCGAGTGACCGGTAGGCAGAGGAGTGGACCGAGGCGAGGAGTACGTGAAGCGGAAGCGCTGGAGGATCTGCTGCACCATGTGTGACTGAGTCAAGGTGATGGTGCGCCGTGCTCTGTCCCGGGTGATCCGCAAGCCAAGATAGCTTGTCAGTTCACCCAGGTCTGTGCACGTGTGTCTCCTCTGCAGCTCCGACTTCACATGGGCGAGTGCCGCGGTGTCAGCAGTGGCAAAGACCAAGTCGTCGACGTACACGAGGATGTAGAACGGCGGCAGTGAGGTGTCTGTGCGTAGAAACAGTGACGGGTCAGCAGTAGAGGGAGCGAACCCAAGAGCCGCAAGTGTCGTCCTCAGTGTGTCGTGCCACTCACGCGGTGCCTGGCGGAGACCGTAGACCGGCCGCTGAAGCCTCCACTGGGTACCAGGAGGAACCGACCCAGTGAAGCCAGGAGGGCGGCGCAGCCAGATCTCCTCGTGCAGGCTGCCCTGCAAGAAAGCAGTGCTGAAGTCAAGTGAGTGAAGCTCGTAGTCGCGCTGAGCGGCTATGTGCAGCAGCACCCGAAGAGTGGTCATCTTCGGGGTGGGGGAGAAGGTCTGAAAGAAGTCAACTCCCTCTCGCTGACTGAAGCCTCGAGCC